AGATATCGAAGCTCGAGATGCCGATGAAATTCCCCATGAAGAAGAAGAGGAAGAAGAAACAAGAATTGATGTCACTATTCCATACTGTCAATTCTCTCTGGGCTCTGAGTTGTATTTTGTAAAGATGCCAAATTTCTTGAGCATTGAACACAAACCATTTGACCCAGCTTTGTATGAAGATGAAATGGAAGAAGATGAGGTTTTAGATGAAGAAGGAAGAGCCAGGCTGAAGCTTAAGGTAATGTGCATGTTGCTCTTTGTGAAAGAAAATGTAATTCCACAAGTAAAAGTATAAGGGGTCTATTTGAATTTGTGTAAAATCCTTTTGTTAGTTCACTCAGACATACACTTTGAAGGGTGGAGTGTGAGATTTTGAAAAAATTGTGGATCATGGAAAATTTTTATTTATGAAATCCTTTAGATATTGCGGTAATTTTAAAATATTTTTCTTCTTTCCTTCAGGTTGAAAACACAATCCGATGGAGGTACAGAAAGGATGAGGAGGGAAATGAAATTAAAGAAAGCAATGCAAGAATTGTTCGTTGGTCTGATGGTACAACATCATTACTGCTGGGAGAAGTGTTTGATGTTCACAAAAATGAGATTGATGGCAACTGTAACCATCTCTTTGTTCAGCAGGTCTGTGTTACAATTCAAAGAAAGTTGTTATAGGGGCCCCATCCAAAAACTCTAAGATTTGCCCTCCCCCCCCATCCAAAAACTCTCAGATCTGCTCTCCCCCCCATCCAAAAACTCTAAGATCTGTCCTCCCCTCTTCCCCCCCTGGTAACTTAACTTTTCCAAAATTGGTCAGAGTACAGAGTTTGAACTCAGTAACTAAGAAGTTTTGTTTTCCTGATGATTTTATTTCTCCAGGGGACTGGTCTCCAGGGCCAAGCAGTATTTAAAGAGAAACTCACTTTCAGACCCCACTCTACAACCAGCCAGACTCACAGAAAAATGACACTGTCTATTGCCGACCGAGCATCTAAAGCACAAAAAATACGAATACTCCCTGCAGCTGGCATGGACCCTGAGGCACAGAGATCAGAACTTATCAAGGTATGAACATAATAAAGGACTGTAGATAAAAGAGAATCATATATTTAAACTGCTGATAAAGAAATGAATATGGAAGTGATCTTGGCAGTAATGAACACTATTTAAGCAGTAGTGAACAGGATTTGAACCTGTGACCTCTGTGATACCAGTGCAGTGCTCTGCGCACTAAACTTACAAGCAAACTGGGGGCTGGTCTTTATTAATTTTTTCAGACTACCACTGCTTAAGTAGTGTTCATAACTATGAAGATTGCTTCCACATTCATTTCTTTATCCACAGTTCACATATATGATTTTCATATATTTACAGTCATTTATTCATCACTTCACAGGTTTATTTGAAACCAACATAATGACCAGCTCCCAGTTGGCTTGTTAGCTCAGTTAGTAGAGCACTACACTGGTATCACAGAGGTCATGGGTTCAAATCCCATAAAGGCCTAAATTTTTTCAGTTGCAGATAAATTAGTGATGAGAATTTTATTTAATCAAGTAATTTGAATACAAATGAGTAGAGACTAGAGGAGAGAGAGAATTGCCATCTAGATTATTTTTTTGATGTGTAGAAAGAGGATGAGAGACTCAGAGCACTATTACGTCGTGAAAATCAGCAGCGCAGAATCAAGGAGAGACATCAAGCTAAAGGGCTGAGTGCCAGCTTTCTTGAACCTGATCGATATGAAGATGATGGAGAAGATTTGGAACAGAGTTTGCTGGCGATAAAGAAAAAGTACAAGAAGAAATTAGCTGAGGGTAAGGCACAAGAGATTGATGTGATCAAACTATGCAATCAAGGAAGGTTGCTTGTTAAAAAACTAAGCATTTCAACATGATTAACCCATCACTTTGACTCATTCAAATAGTTGCTGCTCTACTGACCAAGCTGTGTGGTTAAATGAGGGCTAACTTGTCAAGATCATTTCATTTAATATTGTACTTTAGTTTGTTTTCAATGTTAAAGAAAAGGGTTTGTGTCCACTGAAAGCAGTGTGATGCAAAATCAGGCAGTGAAAAGGAAACAGTAAAACATAGGTTGAAAATACAGTTGAACCATCCTGTATTAAGCTGTCGCCCACAAGGAATGGTGAGGTGACCACTTAATACAAGTTGACTGCTTAATATACACGTAGGTTCCAAAGATTAGGGTTATCATAAAGAATGATAAACAACACCTTTCTATGCCATAATTTACCACTTTATGTACAGAATCTTGCTCAAAAATTCTACTTACTCTGATTTTGGGAGAGAAACATGGATTGAAAGTTACTGGCAAGATTATCCATAGTTTTATTTGAATGGCCCTGCTTTCAATGACTGTTCAATACAGCTGGTTGACAATGAAAATAGGCTGTTGGGACATAATAAAGGGTGACTGGTAACCTCCTAAAAGACGTGAAAATTTCAGTGATTAAGGGGGAAAAATTCAGCACTCAACAACCGATGGCCATATTCAGGGTGACTGCTTAATACAGTGCCACTTATTACAGGTTTGAGTGTATTCCTCTACCAGTTTTAAAAATTCCTCATGGATGTAATACTTCAATTAATTCGAAGTGAAGTATTATTGTTTCTCTAATGTGGTTACTTCTGATGTGGTTCAGAGGTTTTGACAGCACTCTGATAATCATTGTCTGGTGAAAAGGTTGACTGATCACAAATCAACTACCATTTTGTTTACTGTGGTGTTTTGTTATCCAAAATGTATTTATTACATGAACTTCTCTGCTGCAGGATTTCCAAGTGAGTCAGATGAGGCAGAAGAAAGTGATGAAGGAGCAGGAGGCTTAGAGAGTGAGGAGGATGAGGAGGGAAAGGACAGATTACTTAATGCCAAGGAAGGTGATGACAATGACTTGGAGGGAAGAAAGAGGACAAGCAGTGAAGGAGGAGGATCACAGAGGAAGAAGAAGAAAAGCAGACAGATTGTAGAGAGTGATGAAGACAGTGACTAGCTGTTGTGTTGGTTAAGGCTCATGAGGAAAGGAGATGGAAAAGAAAGAGATTTTAAAAAGTCACAGACAGTTATTCTCTGGTTTGCCCTCAGATTTTTTAAAGTTGGACAAGAAAATATATAGCATAGTGTGAGAGGGACCTTGTAGCAGGAGTAAAAAGAATCACCCTCCTCTCTCATTTCCTCCTGCTTTTTGCTTGCCCTCTAGACAAAGACCAGAGAGAAAATTGAAAGTCTGTCTGTCAACAGAATAGTGATTTGATGTCATCTCATCTATTGTGGAAACCATGAAAAGGCATTCTTCATTGGGAATGGAACAGGAGAAACCATATATTGGTTGTGTAGTGTTACTATATTACACCAGACGTTTGAAGTGCAGCAAGGCAAGATAATTCAGAGGTGGCATTTGGAGTCATTTGAAGGAAATGTCAGACTCAAGAAAATAGAATAAATATCCTTTGTAAGTGACATAGGGGAAGGCAAGCTGCTGTAGGGATGGGCTTTCTAAGGCTTTTAAAAATGGTATGGAACTGATATTGAAGTAAAGTATTTTACCATGATACATTTCAACATTATTGTTTACGGCCTTGTGTTTGCCCACCCAAACTCATAACCAAATCAGTTCCAATTTGGTTATATCACCTGTCCTAGCTGACTGAAGTATGTTTTTACTTATGATCCATGTTGCTTGAATTTTGGTATCTCAAAAATTAAAGTTTTGGAAGGCCATTGTTGAATGGTAATTTTGATTTGCCTGTTTTCAGGCTTGACTTATGGACAACATAAGCCAAACACTTGTGTTCTATATTGAACTTAGCTCAAATTTTTCTGAAACCCTAAGGGGATGCAAATATGCAAATATGACTTGTGACCACTCTGTACACAAAAGAGCACAATAAAATTACTTTTGCAATGGGTCATTGTGGCAGTTTTGTTTTTCCTGTGATTTTTTAATAGTTTTGAAGGTGATCAGGTTCTTTATAGGATAGGTCACAGTGATACGGAGCATTTTGAACACTGGCACTTTATGGTTACATCAGGAACTTGAGGCAAACCTCAACCATGATGGCAAAAAAATATGCTCTAATGCGTAGAACAATAGCTGAGGATGTGTGCATTACAACTTTCTACATTTTAGCTGTCCTTTGCAAATCACCAAAATTTGTTTGGTTTGAGAATGAAAAACCAGACAGCAAATTATTTAACTTTCCATTTTATGTTCTACACTACCCACATACATGCCAAAGTTGAGGTGTGGCGCTATGAGAGATGGTGAACATAATAAGCCTTTTGCAAACTTTCATCTAAAATAGGCATCTAATTTGTGTGCATCGATGTGTAAGTCACAAAAAGAACAAAGAACTAAATAAGGAAGTTTTGTCTGGATTCATTTTGCTAGCAAATACACCAACACAGACATTTGTCTTTGTGCTAGCAAAAACAGGGAAGAGAAAATATAATAGTTTGTTTTGTTACCACTGTGGAAAAAAAGTAATTTAAAAAACAGTTGGGAAAGATGTTCAGCTGTGTGTTATGGATACCAAGTTGTCTACAACAGCTGTTACTTAGTCGACCTTATCTTGGATTGTGAGTCCCATCCTGTTTTCTTGTTTTTTAAACTGTTTCTGAACTTCAAGACTACAGCTGTCTACCTATTTAGCTCCCAAGATCTAGTTATTAATTCTCCCCTCTAGCTGCTACACAATTCTTTACATTATTTGCAAGAATTTGGTGTTAGATCAAGAGAACAACTTCTACCTGGTGAGTTCAAGTATCCTTATTACCTGTTTGTTGGATAATGTATCAATATTATTGGGAGAAGTTACATGTTAATTACCTCTGAGGGTTGAAGGGTTAAGCTTTGTATTGCATGACTTTATATTGGCCAGTTTCACCCCTTTACTATCAGTTGTTTTCCACAGCTGTGAGTCACAACACATCAAATTATTTGCAAAAAATTCCATACATTTTAATTCTTTCTTTCTTTGCTCTGACCTTGATTCTCACTGCACTCTCAACTTGTGAATTACTTGCTTGAGTTGTCTTAAGCAGAAAATCAAGGAGCAACGTTCTTTGTTCAGATTCTTCATGAGGTGACATGAACATTCATAGAGATATTTACTGTTTTGACTATTGTCTATCACTGGAAAAGAGGATTTCCTCTGATTGACTTAAGGTCAAACCTATTTAAAAAACAAGAGTACTGTTGTCGAAAAAGGTGCATTAACTTAATAAGGATTTTGTTATCCAGACCTGATTGGTCTTGTTTTGATTTAAAAATAGTAAATATCCACATGTATCTCGAAATTGGTTAACCGCAATTTGATGAAGGTAAAATCGATATTTTAAGGGTGGGTCAGCTGGCACCAGCACCAGACTTGAACACTTGTTCTGTTCATAATTCTACTCTTGCACTAACTTTGCCAGCCATTTCTATATCCAATACACAGCAAATAAGTCGCAAAATTATTTTCCCGAACGCACTACTGAAACAGTGTACGCTGTTATACCCTTTCTAATTTTAGTTTCAAGTGCGGTCACGTTAAATATATTTATGCAAAGGAAAGATAAATTAATTCCCATACATCAATTCAACAACGCTGAACTTTCATTTTCACTAATCATTCGTTATTTTTTATTTTCGCTCCCGTTTCTTGTGAATAATACATTACTTTGTAAAGGTCTTGTCTCAATGGAGTCAGCGAGAATGATGATATCGAGCGCGTTTTCAACGTAAACAAAGAGCGACAAAAAATACACGATTGATACCTTCCGGAATCACTACACACCAATATTTTATTTTAAAACTAAACGTTTAGTTTATATATTAACAAAACTTTACCGCGCTTTATGATTGAAATTCTGAGAGTCCCTACGTTACATTTTGAGTTTTACAGTGATTCTTTCCTTCGAATGTACATTTTTGACCACTCACAGAATTCCTCGTAGCGCACAATTTGAAACTTTAAATCAACTACAGCGTCTTCAGCAGATGACTGCACGAAAACGTCACAACACTTTAGCCTCGGTAGAGTTACCGTAAATTCTCCTCATTTCTTCGTTTTCTGTATGCAAGCGCTCATTTTCCTGGCGCAATCTATTTAATTCAGCCAGCAATATATTGTCTCTGGGTTTAGAGTCTTCCGTACCCGCGTCCAAACTGTGATCGCCGTTTAAAGCCCCTGAAAGTTCTTCCGTCGAAGTGTGTCTCGCAATTGCACTTCCCATACCACCCGCTTCTTTAAGTTTAATTTCCATGGTTTCTATGCGTTCTTCTAGAAGCATAAATTCACGCACAAGTTCGCTTTTGCTCATTGAATGCAAGTTTTCAATATGAACTTGCTCGTAAGCCTCCGTAAAATCTTTCTCAAAGAACTTCTGTTCGTACATTTCGTCTTCGGGCGATTCGTTGTAATCGTCGTCGAAATCTGAATCGTCACACGAGTTAGACGGAGCCCTTTTCCGCAAAGGAGTTCCCTCCTCGCCATCGGACTGCATATGAGCGTGTGTTCCTAAATCTGGTTCTTCAAGATCGTGTTCAGCCATTAAGTACTGTGTGGTATTGTAAGGAGCAGTCGGACGCCCTTTAGCGTTAATATACTGTTCTCGAAATTTAAATGCTCTCTTGGTGTCTCTCTCGTCTCTCTGTTTTTTCTCTTCCCACGAAAGTTTTGAATAGGGTACATATCTCTTACCAGGTTTGTTATTATTTCGCCTCGACCCGCGGCGGTGTTTCTTGCGAATGGGCAAAGGTTTCCAGTCAGAGACCGATTGAGTGGTTGTTGTGGCAAGTGCGCCATTTTCACTAGTTTGAACATCATTCTTGTCTGTAGAAGACTCCACATCACCTGCTTCGCCTCCACTCTGTCCACTTGTCCGTTCATCATCTCCATCGCTCCCGTATTGCTCCATATTCCTCCGACAACCGTCCACCGGGGCGGACGAAGAAGAATCAAGTTTTTCAGTCATTGGCCCTGAACTAATTCTATCTATTCGACTCAGGATTTTTCGCCGAGGGAGATCACACGCGTGTCTCCTCGAAAAAAAAACAACACTTAACGCCTACGATGTAAGAAAAATATGACCTTTCTTTCCAGCGTAAATCTCACCAGAGAAATCCTTCGCTTAGTTCCCTTTCACCGTCTTCTGCTGACCGAAGGTAATGTGTTTTTGTTTTAGATCAAATTTGTTGTCATTCATTGAACATGTGACCTGCTACACTTCACTCTGATTGGATGAAGACCTATGCAAATACAATATCCTACGTAATCATGTGATTCAAAATAAAATAAGTAGGGGAGAGGTAGGGTTATATTCCAAACTCTCATGGGGAGGGGTAAGTTGAAGCGAAGAGATCACATACAATGAAACCTTTTTTAGCTGAACTCTCAGTTGTAATTGCTTCTTTTTTGTTGTTTCATACGCTGACCGGATGAAGAGTTTATCGCAAATCAAAACCCCTTTGGTAAAAATATTTCTTGATGCAATGACATGCAATGATTGGCCTATCAACGTTTTTATTTTTATCTTTAATATGACCTTTGTAACTTTCCTCTTGCATCAGAAGGAACCAAAAATTTTAGAATAAATCTTGACTTTTGCCATTGGGCTTTTCAATTTTTTGGTTTACTCCATTGATTTTGTATGTTTGGCTTAAATAGAAATATACTGACAGATTATCCCAAAAAGTGTTTGTTTTTTATTATTCATAACGAAATGGTTAAAAGCAATCTCTGGAAGTGTTGTCCCTGTGACAAACATTTGTCTACAAGCTGCAGCAGTACATCATTTTATTCTCTCTTATTTTCTGTATGCCTGAAATCAGTATTGCAACTACATCGTTATTACAGAAGATTTGTGGTAATGTATGAATCGTTGGCATTCTAAAAGTGATTTTAAACCGTGCCACCCCAGGGGCCTGTTGAGATGGAAGCGGGGGACCCATGGTAGGTGACGTACCCCGCCTAGCTGTGGTCGGAAAATAACCCGCGTTTACATGCAATTTTATAATCCCGAGTTGAAGTTTTTAGAGGCTGTGGTTGTTATACTTGCAAATGTAACATGAAAACGAACCCGGCCCGGCAGGTTACCCCACCTGGCTTTACCTGGCTTTACATGGCTAATTTTAACCCCGACTGACTGTCAGTCGGGGAATAACCCGCGTTCACATGTACTCTTACAATCCCGAGTTAAAGTTTTTAGAGGTTGTTGTTGGCACACTTGCAAATGTAACATGAACACGACCCCCGGCTTGATAGGTTACCCCATCTGGAGACGTTTACATGGCTGATTTTAACTCCGACTGACAGGGTCACCCTATATGGCAGACCGGGCAACCCGCCAATGTGAATTACCACACTTATCATATAAATATGATCAATGTGGATAGGCGAGTTACCCCCCATGGCAGGTAATCTCACCTACCTGAGGTCCCCCACTTTCATGTAAACAGGCCTTAAAGTTCCTTCAGTCCCTCTCCTCCTGGAAGTTTGTATTTGGACTAATCGCCTTCATACATCCCGCTGTTTATATTTTATAAGCTATCATTCTTTGTTTTGTTTTTTTTTTTTTGTTCAAACAGATTTCTCGATGATGATTGTCTGAAAAGTATGTAAATTCACTGTCTCTCAAGGCCAAATTTTCTTAGCTCCATATCTGATTGCAGCAGACTGGAGTAGAATCGCATGCAAAAGCATCCTTTCTTTATAAGTACATGTATACGGTAAAATGATCAGTAAAAACTGGAATGGTGGAGATCGATCAAGAGTGTTGCCGCGCAATTTTTGTGTTGCATGACGCGCCACTCATGGAAAAAAAAGCACTGGGCACTGTCCTGGACGGATTCCGTCCTGGACACTAGTTAATTATGTGAATTCAAAAAGGCTGTGTGATTGTTGAGATTTCACGGAAATGATGGAATGAACTGCCTTTTTTGAAACCGAATAAGGAGCAAAAACAGCAAATGAAGGTCAGATGCCTTTCAGTACAAGGTGGCACTAGTTTGATGATGTTTGGATGGAGATAATTATGTCAGGGAGCCTGAAAAACTCTGAAATGGAGACCACGTGTGAATTTGCAAATTAACTGCAAGAGAATACCTACTGTAAGAGGTAAGGACTAGTAACTTTAAGATTGCTTGAGGAGCGTTTTGTTTCGATATTTCTGTTTCTCCTCTTTTTTTTTTTTTTTTTTTTTTTTTTTTTTTTTCGTGTATTAAGCTTGCAATCTCATCTGGTTATCCTGTTGTTTTGAAACCTCAGTTCATGATAATTCGCGGGAAATTCAAATATTTTGTAATTGCCTAAATTGCCATAGGAGCTGATTTTATGGTACGATAACTGTTAGAGTCGAAGATGTTCTGGGGATTCTTTTGTGCGGTTGGAAAGGCATGAAAAACTACATTTATGTGTCAAGGATATCTGTTGCTTTTTTTAAAATTTTTGTTGTAAGTGAGGGGTGGCATGACTTCAGTCCCTGTGCATTCAATTCCGCCTCCAAGACCAAATTTTTCATGAAAAGGTTTGGACATTCTGATGCTTATCAAATGTTTTGAATCTTATTTGATATATGTCTGAAGAATCACACTGCATATGTGTCCCAGGTAATTTCCTACTCAATAGTTCCAGGTTGATATGCTTTTTAAGGCCTCTAAATATCAATTCACCAAAAATCTCGCACATTTCCAGCCATAATGGTTTCTGCCATGCCTCATTTCTCTAGTAGATTATGAGCAATGACCTTGTTTGACATTATGGTATAGGGAGTGGGCACTTATTCAGGGGAGGTGCTTATCAGAATATGGGTGCTTGTTTGAGGAAATACGCTAATTAACAAAAAGAATCAATGTTGCCATGGGTCAGTTTTGTCAGTTCTGCAAGCTCTTACCACATTTTCAATGACATCTGTGACATCTAGTCCTCACATTTGATTTTTCACACTTTTGGCAATATTTTTCTGAAAAATTTCTCTTGCATTATAAAAACAACTCACCGAGATTGATATCAACATGAACAACTCCAGAAGTATTTCTTGTTTTTTGTTGCATTTCAGCTCTAGGAATCGCTTGTAAAAGTAAAAACATTTCCCATTTTAGAATATCAAACAGACCCACAGAAAGATGGAATCTCTTCGTTTTATGTCATAAAGAAGCAAACTTGATTTTCCTAGAAGTCAATTTTGTACAACTGTGAATGACAATCTGTATAATCTTTCTAATAGAGACTAGCTTTTTAGGTAGGAAAACACACTTAATTTACATTTTGCCTTTGAAAATTGTGTCCTGATTATAAAAATCAGCCTCTCAGCTTTCTTTCACAAAAGTATTCAAACTTCAAAGATGTGATTTTCTTTCAACTAGAAATGCAGCACCAGAAGGGCAGCTGTAATTAGAAACACACAAAAAAATGTATTCAAGGCCTCAGACTCTTTTAAAGTTTCAAAGTCTATAAAACTCTTGAAAATTCCAATGTAAGCACCTCTAGAATGAACCCTATCTTTATTTTAGCCCTTTGTTTTCAAGAGTGGGAGACACATTGGCTTAATGGCTATCGCACTAGACTATAGGTCAAGAGATCTAGGTTGGAGACCTGGCTGGGTCAATGTGTTGTGTTCCTGAACAAACAGTGCCTCTCTCCACCCAGCGAATTGTAAGGGTAGTCTGGTGAAATGCTGGGGGGTAACCTTAGGATCGGGACTAGCATCCCATCCAGGGGAGGAGATAAGACCCAACTGGATGGACCACTAGGCTCCAGTATAATCAACTTTTTTTTGAAAAGCATCCTTCCCTAGTATGAAGATATTGGATAGAAAAGGTTTTTTCCCCTTTTTTCAAGGCCCTCTCTTATTTAAATAATCTACCTTTTGGATTTCATATTTTTCTATAATCAAATGGCCCTTTGTGTTCCATGTTAGTGTTGAACACCCTCTGAACATCACATGCGAGATTGAATGAAAATGACTGGTTTTAACCCTTTAATCCCTGAGAGTGACCAGCATCTAATTTCTCCTTTCAATATCACCCCTGAATCGATCATTAAGGTCATGAGAATAAAGGAAATGATAATCAACTGAAGGACCCTGTTGATTGTTAAACAAATTCTCCTTGTCAGCACCTTAGGAAATGTACAGAGAACAGTGTGGAGAATATGCATACTGATGTTAGGATGTAAAGGGTTAAAGTCTTTGGAGGGATCAGTTATGTTTCTTGGTTAAGAATTTCTACCCTGAAAGTTTCAGCAATCTGTGATGAACTGGAATTCCATCCATAGAGGGTGGCTTCCTGCTTAAGAAACTTGGATATTTTAGGGTGGAGTGGGTCATTTGACTTGGGTGCAGACAACATTTCAAAGCCTTCAACTCCCAAATTATGATAAGAATTCTCTCCTTTAGTTTCTACATATTTCCATGTTAATTGGTTACAGGGATTTGGTATCAGATCAAGATAACTTTTACTTAGCCTTTAAGCCTCAAATTCAACATGTATATTCTCGGCACTGTTCTCCATATTTTTCTTATTTTACTGATTGAGAGAATTTGTTGAAACATCAAGACATTTCATCTTTGGTGATCATTTGATTCATTCTCATGATCTGTACATTTAATCAGGTAGTGATATTGTTGGGAGAAATTGGATGCTGGTCACTATTGGGGCTTAGAGGGTCAATGATTATTTAAGCATTCTCATTACCTGTTTGCTTGATAATTTATGGATATTAAAAGGAGAAATTCTGAGCAAGTGGAATAAGCTGAGCTGGGGTCGGTCATTTGACTTGAATGCAGATTACGTGAAACTTTTTTCAATGATGAAAATACCAACAGGTGCTGCTAAAATACTGATAAAATTTAATTTTGATTTATTATTATTACCACTTTATTTTTCTAACTTTTTGATCTTAATTTCAGATCTACCAAATGAAAACATTTCACTGGGACATTACCAGCTTTGTATTGAAGTTGTAGGGTACAGATCAGCTACACAGACCCATCTTGAAGAAGAATCCTGACATTGGATTTCAAAGACATAGGTACAAGATGATTTTTCTTTTACATTCATAGTGTATTATCCTTTGGGGAACAGTTGGCTTGGGGTTTTTCTCCTAAAGGCATGTGGAAATGTAGACCTGTATCACACACAGCA